CGAGATTCGCACAGCTTTATGGGGGATTTCTGCGCATCCAACTGCGAGTACTCACGGGTAAGGAGAAATTCGTTAAAGCGAATTTCCAAGACAAGCTCGGGGTAAAATTTCAGTACCAAGAGCGGTAACCCCGAGCTACACTGGGCTTACCATGCGGCGTTGCTCAGGGAGTCCCTGCAGCGCTTACCTTATCCTTCGCTCCCGCGATGTGTCCCCTGCAGTGTCCCCGGCCATCTCCTTCGGCCGATGCCAGCATCCGGCTTCCGTTGTTCCGGTCCCTGTGACGTCGGGACGTACGGGTGCCAGAACCGGCGGCAAATTTGAAATTTTTATATATATAATTTGAATATTATATATAGTAAAACATTGCTGTTTCAATGCATTTCACATATATTTTGTCCCTACTGCTTTGTCCTGTGCCCTGCCTACATTTTGACTGTTCTTTCTGCCTGGAAACTTAGAAAAGTCCATGGCGTCCAAAAAGCGTCCCTTTATGTCAAAAGCGGTTTTAGACCGGCTAGAGAACAGCGATAGTAAATTAGAACCACTTGCAGAATTGAATGATAATGATTCGTGGGGAAATTCGTCATCAGACACTGAAAACGATTTTGCGACTTTGCTCAGCAATGTGTGAATTTGCCTCTGTATTTCAAATTTCAGTGTTTTTGGTTTGATTATATTATTGAATTAAATGTATTATTATTATATTATTATTTTTTATGATTATTAAATTATAATTTATGATTTCGTGTTTCAAGTTTTATCATATCCGGAATGTTTACTAGACTCTTGTTCGGACAGATTTCAGTGAGTTATTCCTAAAAATTACAGCCTACAATAAAAAACTACATATTTCCATGCAAAATAATGGTACCGCTTTCAGCACCAAGATCGGGAATAATCATACCGCCAGTGAGGTTAATACACATTTAAAAACAAACTGTCCCTATTCCTATAAACTGCCATCTATTCAAAGTAATGTGCCTGTAAGTGTCCTATGTATAAATTTGCTCCAAACAAAAAAATAGGTAATAAATGAAAAAAAAAAAGAAAATATGATATATACAGTATATAGGTGTGCTTTGTAGCAAAAATATAGTGGAGGTTTCTCAAATTTGACTTCAAAATTGGAAATAAAAATTGAAATCTACTATATTTTCCCTTTAAACTGGTGACATATGACACTTGCGGTGTACGGCCGCCATGCCGCCCTTGTCAGAATTCTGAAGGGTAGTTCATTGAGTCCCAAGATAAACTCCTCACTGTGTGCCGCACTAAAATATAAAGTGACTTGTCTAAGGTAACAAACAGCAGACACATTTATTGAACCAGACTTTCCAGCTTCAGACTTACAGTCTGTACTCCTGCCTTTGCTTCCAGTCAATAGCAGTGACATATCTCACTGCGGTAACTTAATCACTTACTTACCAGTCACAAGGTGGAAATTGGGACATTAAAACTTCTTCAGGTAAAATGTAAAGTAAAACATAAAGCTTTTTTTTCAGACTTTTCTGTATTGAAGCTAAATACAAATTATTGTTAAAGGGTAACTCTTTATTTGTTGAAAAAAAATATTGCTAATTTTAAAATATATATATAACATATAGAATTGCTACACAACCCATATTGTAATTGAATGTTGTTAAAAATTACCTTTCCATTTCAGTCTGCAGCCACTGCAAAAAATATACAAAGCACATGGTAACCCGGAGGAGCTCTGTTTACTGTTGGAGTACAGAACCCCTTCAAAAATATAATTTCCTGCTTGTGTGATTGGCTCATTCATTTTCCTGTTAAATACTTCTAATGGGATGCTGACACTGCAGCTTTCCTCATTAGAACATTGAGAATGCACCAAATGATTATAATGAACCAGACCTAAAAGTTGCAATATATTTTTTCAACGAAAGAAGAGTTACCCTTTAACAATAATTTCACAATCAGTCTGCATTCAATCTGCAATCATGGTGAAGCAAACAGCTATTTCTTCAGGGGAGAAACAGTTAGAAATCTACTACAGTTTGTTAAAATCCCTGTAATGTACATTGAATACCACCAGAAAAAATTGTTTTCTTCCCAATAAACGTGGAGTTAGTCTTTAACCACTTGCCCCCCAATATTGCACTGCAATACTTTAACTGAGAATTGCACACTGTCCACAAATGAAATTTATATCATTTTTTCACACAAATAGTTTTCTTTTGGTGGTATTTGACCACCACTGGGTTTTTTATTTTTTGCACTAACAATGAATAAAAAAGACTGAAAATTTTGAAAGAAACACAACATTTTTTACTTTTTGCTATAAAACATATCCAATAAGTCTAGGCCAAAATGTATTCTGCTACATATCTTTGGTAAATAAAAATCAAAACAAGTGTATATTAGCTGGTTTGCGTGACAATTATAGCATCTACAAACAATGGTATAGATACTGGATTATTTATTTTTTTAATACTAGTAATGGCCGTGATCAGCAACTTACAGAGGCAATCTGACACTAACTGACACTGGGTGGGTACTAACTGCCACTGACATCTCTAGTGACACCAATACAGTGATCAGTGCTACTAAAAAAAAGCACTGTCACTGTACTAATGACACTGGGCAGGAAGGGGTTAACATCTGGGGTGATCAAAGTGTTAACTGTGTGCTGTTTTCCTAGGGGTACTGTGTGCGGTTTTACTAGGGGATGTGCTGGTTTTTATTTCCTGGTTTGCAGGGAGATAAAAACTGGCACATTCCTGCTGACAGGAGAGAGATCTGTGTTGTTTACATACACAGATCTCTCTTCTTTCGCCCACTCCACCCATCGCCAGGCCCTGGTCATGAATCACTGACCGGGACCCAGTGATTGCTATGTAAGGGAGCCAATAAAAGTGCGTCTGGGGCTAGAGACAACACAATACGGGCTATAAATATTCAGCATTGGTTAACTCAAAAACGACAATCTGGCTTCTTTCTATCGTTAGATGCAGAGAAGGCATTTGATAGACTGGCGTGGGACTACATGGAGGCAGTTCTGATTGGACTTGGATTGCCTCCGCGTTTCCTGACGTTTATCATGTCTCTATATACCACTCCCACAGCTAAAGTGAGAGTTAATGGTCTCCTTTCGAATTCCTTTTCGATAGGCAATGGGACTAGACAGGGATGTCCTTTATCCCCCCTCTTATTTATTCTGACACTGGAACCTTTGTTGAATTGCATCAAACAGAATGATAACATCAAGGGGATTCTGATAAATGACAAAATTCATAAAATAGCAGCCTTTGCTGATGACATATTACTTTTCCTAACAGACCCACATATCACTTTACCTAATCTGCTACAAGAATTCAAATTGTTCCAGTATCTGGCGAACCTAAAAATTAACTTCTCTAAATCTCAAGCCCTTAATGTCTCCTTGACCCAAGATGTGTTTAGACAAGCGAAATTGAATTTTCCTTTTACCTGGCAGTCGAAGGCGATCACGTATTTGGGTATCCAATTACCAACTCACCTAACGGAACTTTACGATAAAAAAACTTCTTACCCCTCTTGCGTAATATCTCCACAGACCTTCAAACTTGGAACAAACCTTGGGTTCTCTTGGTTTGGTAGAGCTGCCATTCTCAAGATGAACGTGCTTCCTAGAATATTGTATCTACTGCAAACAATACCAATTAAACTACCAACTTCTTTCTTCGCATCTTATAAAACACTTTGTACCTCCTTTCTTTGGTATATAATAAACGCCCAAGAATTAGCTTTGCCCAACTCACCATGCCGAAGAAGGGTGGAGGTATTGGATTGCCTGATATTGCCCGATACTACAGGGCTTGTCACCTAGCAAGGGTAGTAGATTGGACCACGATCCACAATAGTAAGGTTTGGGTTGGTTTGGAGACAGATTTCTCAACGATACCACTTCTTGCCTCTTCCCCTTGGCTGGAAAACATTCATATTCCTTCGGAGTTTCGGGAACACCCTCTTATAGGTCCTACCTTAAGCTGTTGCCATCAGTTGTTCCGGAAAAAGAACTCTCTTCCTCTCCGGGTCCGTTAACTCCAGTCAAAAGGAATCCAGACGTTCTACCGGGTATGTCCCGGGCCTTCCTAGCCGGTGATAATTGTCCAGATAACCTGACGGTACATCAACTTTTCAAAGATAAGAAGTTCTTATCTAGAGAAGATATTATGAAGACATGGCCATCCCGGATATTTACGCCATGGATGTTTAGACAACTTCATCACTTTATACAAAGCTCCCCCACATGTACAAGATTATTCAAGGCCACTTACTCCGTATGAGAAACTTTGTTTTACGGACGTCCCCCAGAGACATGTTATATCCAAGCTCTATTCATATCTGGATACCGCCAATATGTCTCAACCTCGAAAGGCATGTGAGGCTTGGTCGCTCGACTTGCAACTGCCATTGTCACCGGAAGATTGGGATCACATCTATGACCATATGCATACAGGTTCCATATGTGTCTCTACACAAGAAAACAATTATAAATTATATTCTAGATGGTACAGAGTGCCGTCCTTGCTTCATAGATTTGATCCTGATGTCCCGGATTTGTGCTGGAGGTGTCAACAGGCAAAGGGTACACTCCTACATATATGGTGGGACTGTTCGCTACTACTGCCCTTTTGGAGAAAAGTCCGAGACTTAATCTCACAAATAACCACGTACAATCTAGACTTCACCCCTGCACAATTTTTACTCCATCATTCCTCACTTCCTTTTCGGACTTATCATAAGTCTCTTGCCTTACACATGATAAACGCGGCAAAACAATGTGTCCCTGTTCACTGGCGATCAAAACAAGTTCCCACTGTGCGGGAGTGGTTTATTAGGGTCATCAGGATTGCGGAGATGGAGGAGCTGATTTCAGTGGCAAAAGAACACCCCGAGAGATTCAGGAAGACTTGGGCGTGTTGGAAACATTTTCAAACCACCAGTACTTATCGTCTTTCTATGAATGAATAAGACAGGATCCAAGAACACAAAAACCTTTTGAGCTCTCACCTCTAGAATTGCTCCATAGACTGAATCTACCCGGACTATATCTTACATAAAGGTATACGCTAAGTTACCATAAATAATGCTCCATGATACGATAGATTGACAACCACTATTTATTATTTGATCCCCTCCACCCACCCCCCCCTTTTTTTTTTTTTTTTTTTTTTTTTTTCTCTCTCCCTTCTTTTCCCTTCCTACTTTTCTTCACACCTTTCTCTTCTACAAGTAACTACATCTTTTATGAGGGACAGAGTGTCCTTTCACATATAGGTATGATTGTCTTCCACAATAAGAACCCTACATTCCCGGCTACGGACACAGAAGAACTGCACGCCTTCAAATGATATAGTGTACTACGCTTCATAGTCCCATTATTTGAGTAATCCCTACTCATTAGAACAGCATCCACTATAATTCTCCAGACTACCTAT